GAAAAAGCCTGGTCTTTCTCATCTAAATGCTGCTCATCGCATTCTCAGATATCTTAAAGGATCCATAGGCCAATGATTATTTTACTCATCCACATCATCTCTTCATCTCAAAGGATTTTCAGACTCAGATTGGGCAAGCTGTGTTGATACACGCAAATCAATCACAGGATACTGCATGTTCCTAGGAGATTCTCTCATCTCATGGAAGTCAAAGAAACAACAAACTATATCTAGGAGTTCAGTTGAGGCTGAATATCGAGCTTTGGCTACTACTGCTGCAGAAGTTCTTAGCTTACTCCAACTTTTCAAAGATCTTCATTTACCTATCACCACGGCTACTATATACTGTGATAGTAAATCCGCTTTAGCATTGGCAGCTAACCCAGTTCATCATGAGAGAACTAAACATGTGGAGATTGATTGTCATTTTATTAGAGAATGGATTCAAAAACAAGTGATTCATACTCTTTACGTTCCTACCCAGCACCAGCTTGCTGATTTATTTACTAAACCTTTGGGACGTGTTTTGTTCCATTCATTACTATCCAAGATGAGTGTACAAAATCTGTACTCTCCTCTTGAGGGGGGGTGTTGGCGTAAAAATGCAAAGGCTTGCAGCAGCAATCAACAAAAGGGACAAACACTAGCTGAAGATGAAAATAACAATGCATGTACACGTCCAGATTAGAAGATAGTAGATTTTACTAGATACTTCTAGAATAGTTTGGTTGTTACAAATCTGTTACGTAACAACTACTATTTATACATCTTCTAAATAGCTAGCTAAGAACATAGAATGTAAAAAATAACTCTTCTTTGAATCAATGTGAATGTGGAGTTCTTTTCTTCTCTTTTCTTTCATGCATAATACGTATTCTACGTATGCAATTTCTTCAGGGCCAACTTTGATACGACGAACAAAGTTTCTCACCTCTGGGGACACCTCTTCGCAGACCTACTTGAGTGGTGTTGGAATTCACAAATCTGTTTGGGGATCTAGAGGAAATGATTCCGAACTCACAGGGGACATGAGGCAGTACATCAAATGTTTTCTAGAAAGGAAATCCAGGGGAGTCAATCGAAGGTTGACATCGTCGACCGATGCTTTCAATTTACCATTGAAAGTAAATTGTTTCGATTTGATATTGTTGATTTCAATTGCTTGCGCATCTCTGAGATGAAGCAAGAGTTTTTATCAACAATTGATTTTGATCTTGAAAAGCTCAACTGGTTGAGAGATTCTTTGGTTAAAAGTTTAAGGGATAAATGGATGTGTCATAAACTGGAATTAGGAAATTCTCTAATTGTTCAAGCAGATTCGAATTGTTTGAGGGACTTTATTCGGATAATAGAGAAGAATTACGACTCTCTTTTTATTCCGGAGGGTCGAAAAGGATTAGGGATTGAGAATTTTTTGATAGGGTTATCGACAACAATCAAAATGATGAGTGCATTTCAAGTTCTCGACAACAGACAATACTACTTGCATGGGGAGAAATTATTTCAGATATGACGGTACAATGTTGTAATTGGGTCGAGGATAATTCCTCTCACAATGTTTCCATATCTTAGATGTTATTTAAAGTTGATATTGAAGGTCTTATATATACAGAGGATCTAGACAATATGACTCAATTTTCTATTTATCAGCCACTGGTTTATAAAGAAGAGGCCGATAGAGGTCTAAAAAATTTAGATTCTACAAAAGAGGAGCCTGAGGTTGTTTTTGTTGACGAGTGTCGAAACAAAATCAGGTTGATCAAGCACCAGTTGGAGACGAATCAAAAGAGGATTATCACAACTATCTTGCCAACATTAAAGCTGAATTTCAATTGTTTCAGAAAGAGCTTGGTCACAAAATGCAGCAAAAGGCCGAGGAAAAACAAATTAATTTGGTTCAACAGTTAAATAGAGTGGCTCACATGCCATCAGAAGAGGAAGGCTTCACGGTTGTTGTTTCCAAAAAATCGAAAAGGCGCAATGAATTAACACCTAGGACTATTGAGACCAGTCAACAAGCGCGATTGCACAACACCAAGCAACATACTCAAACGCGAACCCGGCTCAACTACTCCAATACAGATTACTAATCATCTACAATTCAACATTTGTGTTTTCCTTGTTAAATTTTTTCTGTTTCTCCATTTACTTTCTACCTTCATTAAAGTTTGTATTCTGCTTCTTTTATCAATAAAACTTTCTCTTTACGCTTAAAAAAATATTAAAGTATGATATCTATACTGGCGGTTTGATAATAAAGAGCAACGATGAAATTTTTTCGGCGTCCGGTTTGATTCTTCAAACATAGGTATAAAGATGTACATACTTTTGATAATAAAGAGCAACGATGAATTTTTTCCGGTCGTGCAGCGAGAGACCCCTATGTAATTATGTTCATTATTTATGTATGAGGCGATTTCCAGCAAATGCCCCCAAAATACAACTTAAATATCGTCGCCACACCATTCCACCCCCTATGTAGAGTTGGAGACTTTGAGTTCAACCATTAACGCCGCCAAATTATTTACTGGCGGATCAACATGTTGTTAATTACTTATTATGATCCATAGTCCATACATGGGGAAGGGATCAGGGTGTTTCGATGTTGGCTGAGTCTGAAATTGAGAGTTCAAATTTATTACTCCCTCCGTCCCATTAGAAGGTTCTCACATTCCTTTTTGGATGTCCCGTTAGAAGGTTCTCATTTCCATTTTAGGAAACAATTAACAATCTTAAGTGACAAATTAATCATTAAATATTAAACATAATACATTTATAACATCACAGTTATCAGTAATAACTACATTATAATATATACCTATTAAAACTATTTCACAAAATATACTCGAAGTAGTTTATTTAATTATTGCCTAAATAACCCCTGCGGTTTTGCTATGTGAACCTTCCAACGGGACGAAGGTAGTAGGAATTTTATCAATTCAGCACCCGAAAGATAGACGAATTATCAATCCGAGACCTGAAAGATGAAATGCATCAATATAGGACCCGAATGATGAAAAACTATCAATTTAGGACCTGAATGATTGAAAACTATTAATCTAGGACCTAAGTTGTCATAATTGTTTTATTTTTTTTATTTTAAAAATTTTAAATATTATTTAGTTTTATTAAACTAATAAACTTTTGTGAAGAAAAGTACCGGGAGTATATAAAAAATTAGTAATTGAATTAATAAAAAATTAAATAAATCAAAACCTATGAAATATTAGGTCCTAAATTGATATTTTTCTACCATTCGGATCATATACTGATACATTTTATCTTTCGGGTTCTGAATTGATAATTAATCTATCTTTCGGGTCCTGAATTGATAAAATTCCATTTTATTAATCATCACCTCACCCTTAAATGTTTGCCATGAAGCATGTTTTTTGAATTTGTTACAATTTCTTCATTTATGATCCAGTTTTTACAAAAATATAACAATAATTATATATTTACAATTATGTGACGAATGATTATTTACAAAAACGTGACTAATGATTAGAGTAGTGATGGAATCATAGTAACTTATGTTCAATTATTAAACTTAAATTACCATGACATCCCATTGCAGTAATTATTAGTCATATTTGTGTAAATAAATTTTATTTTAGTAGTTTTTTTGAAAAAATCCCCAAAACATACCCCATATAAAGTTAAATTATATTTAATGATCTTTCATACGAAATCAATATGACATACTCCCTCCGTCCAGGAAAGGTTCGCCGAATTGACTTTTTTTTGTCAATGATACTCAACTTTGACTAATAATATCTTTTAATACGAAATTATTTTGAATATGAAAATTATATCAAAATGTTCCTTATTCAAAATATTTTCATAAAAGTATAAAATTTATAAATTTTATACAAATATAATAATTAAAATCATTATCCAAACTTTGTCATAATTGACCAAGAAAAGTCAATACGGCTAACATTTTCGGGACGGAGGTAGTATAAAAATTTGAAGAAAAATAATAATTTATTTACACCATAATTTTTAATCAACTTTTTATTTTACATATGCGCGTGATATTGATGTCATGTGAAAGATCATAAATATAATTTAATTTTTTACAAAAAAGATATAACCATTTGAAAAAAGAATTGACTTGCACGTGTGGATAGAGGTGAGTCCGATTTATTCGGTTCGTTTTGACCAAAAATCAAATACATAATCAAAGCAAAAAGTTCAGTTCGATTTTGGTTCGGCTTTACATTTCAAATCTTGAAACACCGATTTAATTGGTTTGATTTGTTTCAGTTTGGTTTCGGTTATTTCGGTGTCTTTGTTAAAATTGTAATTTGATTTTAAATGATGTGATAGTTGGAGGAATCAAACATATTATATAAAAAATGCAAGCACACTAGAACAAGTAAGTTAAAAAAGAAGAGATAAATATGTATTGAATTACATGAGTATGCAGGAAACATAAAAGTGTAAATATTACTCCGTATTAATTTACATTGTTTAGGACTAGTGTGAAAAAGATGTATATTTATGTGTTATATCAATATAAAAATTTATGTTACATAAAAATAAAAGTGAATTACTATTAACAACCAGTAAAAACATATCATCGTCATGCAATAATAAATTGCAATATACATACATATATATAGACACTATAGATCAATATAGTTAAATCATGTATAAACTGACCTAAATATAACACAAAAATTAAATTTTAGCACAAGAAAACCAAAGATTATCATGATTAATTAGGGCTTGATTTGTTTTTTTACATTCCATTTCGGCTTTTTTACGATTCAGTTTTATTTTGATTCGGTTGTTAGTTTTCTGTTTGTTCGGATCCGGCCCTACGCGTGGAGGGAAATTTTGATCTCGAACTCTATTTATCTACTTCGTATTTAATAATTTATTTAAATTTAAATGAGTGATTCTTTCATTTCTTTCTAACAGATTCAGAAGTGTTCGTGCAGCCAATAGTCATTGCGACATATTCTCCTTCGATACTTATCTCTACAATGGCGCCCCCCTCCTCCTCCTCAAGCTTTTGGCTCTGCACGAGAATCCACAATTTCAAAAACGGAAAAGGAGAAAGTAAATTAATGATCAGACGACGCCCACGCGCCGCCTGCAATGAGTACCCGAGACGAATTCGCGGAAGATGGGCTTCGCAGGCCCTTGCTTCACACCGGAAGCTGGTATCGAATGGGGTCTAGGCAGGGAAGCATGATGGGCTCCTCCAACCAGTTGATTCGCGACTCCATTTCCGTTTACCTCTGCGTCCTCATCGTTGCTCTCGGCCCAATTCAATTCGGCTTCAATGTACGTTCTAACTCTTTCTTTCTTCCCAATTTTGCATGGAGTTATATTGTTTTGAAAGTGATCGATTTCGACAAAAGATTTTTTCTTGCAAATGTCCCTTTAAGTTAAGCTGCAAAATCAATCACATTATTATGAAGCCCCTTCGTGAATTGCATATTTGATAATGATGACAATTTTCTGTGTATTATTGAATAATAAAATTATTCAGTGCGGTTACTCCAATCCCACCCAAGATGAAATTATCCGAGATCTTGACCTGACCATTTCAGAGGTTTGTTTGAATCTTCTTCAACATTTACCATATTCTATTCTTAGTGGACTTTATTAACATATGTTATAAAAACTTCTTCTCTACTTTTTGGCACTGTTTTAATGGACAGTACTCTATGTTTGGATCCTTAGCAAATGTGGGTGCCATGGTTGGCGCAATAGCCAGTGGTCAAATATCAGAATACATTGGAAGGAAAGGGGTATGACCCATAGTATAGTTTTTGCAGTATTTAAAGATATTTAAAACCACATGGTTTTGTTATTATTGGAAAATGTTATTTAGACATATAATTTTGTCTCAAATCTTTTGTCCTATGTTTACAAAATGCAGACATTAATGGTTGCTTCAATTCCTAATGTAATAGGATGGCTTGCCATTTCATTTGCCCGAGTTAGTGATTCTTTCTTTTTTTCTTTCACATGGAATAGTGAAAAGCTTTCTTTAATTTATTTCATCTCGGTTACATCTTGAACTTGTAAAATAATTGGCTCTTATTTTCACAGGATTCGTCTTTTCTATATATGGGAAGGTTACTAGCAGGTTTTGGTGTGGGGATCATTTCTTATGTGGTAAGCTATAATCCTATAGAAGTGATTCCAGAGTTAACCTTATGTGGTATGGAGTATATTATATGATCATAAATCCAGCTTACCATGATATATAGCTTCTTGTGTTTAGGTGCCAGTCTATATAGCGGAGATTTCCCCAGAGGACATTAGAGGAGTTCTTGTGGCCACTGTCCAGGTTTGTTGTGGCAGTTACTTCAGAAGCTAGTTCAGCCGCAATAGTTAATTCATTTATCTCCAAAGGAAAGTTACTTTAATTTTATTTCACTCATTCTTTCAACAGCTCTTTATAACTCTTGGAATAATGCTTGCATATCTATTGGGGCTTTTTTTGCCTTGGAGAGTGATTGCAGTTATAGGTAAGTGTCAGCGACAACTTATTCTATAACTATTTTTATAATTACTTTATATACTTGTGAACTATTACATATCCATGCTTTCTTCATCTTACATGTCAAGAATTTTATTCATGAAATGTTTCTGCCATTTTTTATCACAATGTTTAGGGATGATACCATGCACCATTTTGATCCCCGGTCTATTTTTTATACCAGAATCTCCTCGCTGGCTGGTATGGGAATGACTTTCTCTAGTATATAGTATATTATGGAGTATTATTTAGGGCAATTTCCTCATTTGTTGATTTCTGATTTTTGCCTGCTGTTCAATCTATAATATAGGCCAATGTGGGGAAGATTAATGATTTTGAAACGTCATTGCAAGTTCTGCGTGGATTTGATACAGACATATCATCTGAAGTGAATGATATCAAGGTATTGTAGTATTTGGGTGTAACCACGTGATAATTGTGAACGGATTAGGCAGAAATGGAACATATAAAAATAATCATAACCAGGGGCGGAGTCAGGGCATTGGGCCGGACTGGGCCGATACAAAGAATATTTTTGGAAAAAAATTTACACGGAATTTTTTACACTTAGACATTTTTAAAATTTGGGTGGGCCAGGGTAGCCCTGCCCTAGCTACGCCCCTGATCATAACATATAAAACGAGTGGTGATACCCTTACGTAGTAGTGCACATAAAATTGCAAATAACAAGTAAAAGTTGCAAGATTTTGTTTAATATTAAAAAACTATCCTCTCCATCAAAATTTTATTTAATGGAAGGGTATGCTATCGGTATTTGAATTCGGTCACATAAAAAATTAACTCTAATAGGCTATGTAATAGCTTTTATGTTTTTTTTTTCAGAAATCAGTGGCCTCATCAAATAAAAGTTCAAGTACTGTTCGATTTTCAGAGCTTAAGAAAAGGAGATATTATTTACCTCTAATGGTAAAACTTCGATAATTGTATTTATGTTTTCATCAGCATTTGTTTTTATATATACATCACAATTTTTTGTACATCGTAAATCAACACATGCCCTACTCTCACCCCCAGCATTTCATTTTATGGGATTATTCATCCTGCAGATAGGCATTGGATTACTTTCACTCCAGCAACTAAGTGGAATCAACAGTGTTTTATTTTATTCTAGTAAGATATTTGAATCTGCTGGTGAGTTCACTTACTTTCAGGTTGAAAATAATAAAAAAAATCTATTGCCAGCATTTATGAATTATATTTTCTTCAGATGATCTATTAGTGGTAGATTTTGGGTTTTTTGTTGTTGTTAAATGAAATCTTGAATGCCTCATAATGCTATGAGGTTATTATGAATGGACCCCTGTAAATGATTAATGATTGGTATTTTCCAATATCCATAGGTGTTTCATCCAGTAAAGCTGCAACATTTGGGATCGGGGCTATTCAGGTAACTCAAGGCGGTTTCATTTTCGGTTTGGAAAAAGATTCAGACTTCAAATTATTTGAAGATTTTTTTAAATAGGTCATCGTCACTGTGATTGCAACGTTGTTGATGGAAAGGGCAGGCCGCCGGCTGCTGCTGCTTGTACTTCCTTCTAAATATTTCGTATTTATTTTTGCTGCTTTATGAGATGTAAAAAAATGGACAAAAGTTTACACGTTACAATTTATTTCTCTTTTTCTCCAGCTATCGGCATTGACAATGACTATTGGAACCCTCATTGTTGCAGCAGCGTTCTTTTTGAAGGTCTGTATGTTGTTTTATTGGGATCTTGTAGAACATCAGTTGTAACTTTTTAAGGACTTTAATTAACCTTTTTTGGAGATCATTACTATTTTAATACTTGTTTTATTACTTTGTCAACACAGGATTGTACTCCAGAGCGTTTGCACTCTCATTTTGGAGTAATATCAGTTGTTGGGCTATTGGTATATCTGTGGCGCTGACGATGCTTTTAGGTGTAGTTTGGTAGACCATTCTATAATGTAGTGTAATCAAATATTGCATGTGCCCCATCTTATTACGCTACAAAATGACAACTTTTCTTTTCCGAACACATATTCTTTTTATCTTTCCTGAATGACAGTTTTTCGATCTGAAATATTGACTTATTTGACACAATTTTGTACAAAAGGTTACCCACCTTGGATGGGGAAAATGTAAACTTGACCCAATATAATTTGTGTCCCTAATATTCATGCAAAAAGAATTTAGGACTTAAAAAGGGACACAGGGAGTATTTTTAGTGTACATTTTCATTAGATCCGACATGCTTTTGATTACATTATGTTACAGTTGACTTTCTACCAAAGTACACCGTGTTCTTTCCCCCTTCCCTGTGTGACTTTATGGTGGGTATATGCATATCTACCCCCCCCCCCCCCCCCCCAAGTCCTTAACCTCTTGAATTTCGCAGATTTTGGTCATTGGTTTTGGGCTCGGATTGGGTGGTGTTCCTTGGATTATAATGTCAGAGGTATGACAAGATTTCAAATTACTAGTGGATGGTTTAAATGACTTGTTGCACATGGTCATACGTAGTTACCATGAAGGTGATAAATCAAATTCAAACTGAAACAACTGTGTTTGTCCGTGTTTGCATGCATGTTAATATATATCACTAGTTCAATATTAGAGATAGTTGTTCAACTTTGAGAGCATTAGAAGGCTTAGCGTGATAGCATATGTAGTTATTATATGTTTTTGTATACATTGGGAGTTGGCACCCCACTCCATCTCCCATTATTCATGTAGTTGAAACTTGGCCAATCCAGATACTCCCAGTGAATGTTAAAAGTTTAGGTGGCAGTGTGGCGACATTGTCCAATTGGATGGCCGCCTGGGTTGTCACGATGACTGCAAACTTGCTTTTGGATTGGAGCAAAGGAGGTTGTCTCTCTCACTCTATCTTTTTCATCACCGGCATTCTTTTTTTAGTTGATCTCTCTTGAGATAATAATTACTAGGCAATCTATATTTTAAACAGGAACGTTCGCCCTTTACGCTCTAGTGTCAGCCTTCACAACGTTTTTTGTATACCTCTGGGTTCCTGAGACCAAAGGAAAGACACTTGAAGCAATTCAGTTGTATTTCAGATAGAGCGGGTTTTTAGCTCAATTGAGATTTGGCAATCGTTCATCTTAAGCTCTTCCTCTATATACCATTAAACAAGGCAAGTATCATAAAAAGCTTATATTTAATGCATTGGTTAAAAAAAATATGAATGCTTAAATCCAATTCCATGTTCCAGGTTGTGACTTCTAATTATGAAACAAACCGGCGAGGATATTATGGAATGAGGGTTGGAGGGAAGCAGAAACATCTTGAGATGCATGTTGTCGGCGCTAGGCCTCTCTAGGTGAACCAAGGGGGCTTGCTTTGTTGATGGTTTCATATGCTGTATTGCTCTCTAGTTTGTTGTCACAGTGCATATTTATATATGGTATTTTAGCATCTTATTCCGTAATTATGTTCTTGTGTGAGTAATTAGTGAAACAAAATATTTAGACAACTTTTATTTCATCCATTTATGAGTGCATATATCCAAATGGAAATTAACGTGGAAGATTTGTTAGTTCTTGAAATTAAAGCTTTGAAACCCGAAAACGTGAGGAAAATATGGAGGGTACTTCGAAGGAAACAGTATAACAAAAAAACATGCTATCTTTTTGTTCAAACTCATTTGAGTTCTTTATTTTTCATTATATAAAAACTAGATATATAACATTAAAGGAAATTTTAGAGAGATATATGACTCCACTATGGAATCATATCTCATGTAAGGCTGAGTCTGAAAAACCAAATCAAAATAAAACGAATCGCAATCAAATTAAACTGAACTAAAATTTTATTTGTTATCTGTTAAACACTAATTTTAATATTATTGATATTATATGTAAATTATGTATTTCTTGTTGAATATGAAATTATTTTTGTTGTTAAATTTAGGTTTTTAAAGAGAATTGCTTGGAAAATTGTTAAATCAACCTAGGCGCCACCAAGTCACTAGGCGGGTGTCGGGCATCTTGATTTCATGGTAATCGGTTGGAAAATTGCTCGGCTACCTAGGTGGGCTAGGCAGTGACTAGGCGGGTCGGTTAAAGTTTGTTACTAACCCAATTTATTTTTCCCATTTTTTCTTAAGACATCGTTTAAATCCATAAGTACTTTGTTTATAAAATTCACTATTATATTCCTACAAAGCGAATTTATATAGAAACTTTTTTATCATTTATAATTTTACTACAAAGAGAATAGCATTTAATGATTTTACGAGTTGTTTCTATTGTCAAAATATTAAACAATTATTAGTAAAGATTGTTAAAATTCATATAAAATGAAAAAACAAAAATAATAATAAGGGAAATACCTAGGTGCCCTAGTCAGCGTTTAGGCAGGCTAGGCGCTAGGCTATCGGTCACCGCCCGACTAGCGCCTAACATCTTTTAGAACATTGGTTATATTGATATATTATGAGCTCGTTTGGCAGCATGAAAATCGACTGTTCTGGCTTATTCTGCTGAAATTTATGAATTTCTGGCTGAAGTAGCTGCATTGGCTGATTCTGCTGATACAAGAAAAAAATAATTTTAAAATATGATTTATTAATAAAATAAAGAAAAAATTATATGTAAAAATAGCTAAAATGGTCATCTACAGTAACTTCAGCCAATACAGCCAGAAAAGTAACTCCAACCTTACTTTTTCGGCTTATTACACAATTCAGCACGTGAAAGCAAAATTTACGTGTTTGGTAAAAAAGTTGGCTGATAAGCCTGATAAGCCGAATATGAGGGTTGCCAAACGACCTCTATGTTTGTGCTGCTTGTCATTAGTAACTTTTATGTATGTAGCAATTTATTACATGACGATGATGTGTTTGTGCTGCTTGTCATTAGTAACTTTTATTTTTATGTAATTTAAAGTTTTATATTGACAAAAAAATTATTAATTTCAATTATAACTTTTGAAAGTATATATTCATGAACTTTTTTCAAACTAGTCACAAAAAATGTAAAATAAGAATGTATACATTTTTGTTCCAAATAAACTAGAAAAATATTTTTGCTCTCACCCATACTCATATTATTCAAGCCATATTTATTCCTTCTCTTTTTATTTCATTTGTTCTAATGTGCTTGCATTTTTTAATTTAGTATATTTGCTTCCCCCAACTATTGTACCATACTAAAAGAAATGGAATTTTTAGAGAAAAACCCGAAAAAACCGAAACTGAACCAAAATAAACCAAATCAATCAAGCCATGGTTTCAAGTTTTGAGATGAAAAACCGAACCGAACTTTTTATTTGTTCCGTATTTGGTTTTGGATCAAAACCAAACCAAAAAAACAAACTCACCCACAAATTGTCATGTGTGGCAATACCATAGTCTCTCATTTGTATAATGGAACCCTCCATTATAACCACACTTTAGAAATGAGTGATTATAATAAGGAAAAACTACAGAAAAAGTACATGTAGTTTGAGCCGTTTTCAGATAGGGGCACGTGTTTCATTTTTTAACAAAGTGGGACATGTGTTTCAATTCCGTTATCACAGTTGGGACATGGCGTCTAACGCTGTTAGAAAATTTAACGTCGATTTTCAAAAGTCTTCGGAAGATTAAAAGAAAAATATTGGGAGGTGCGTCTCGTCTAGGAGACCAACAAACTATCGTTCTCTTTGGATTTTTCAGCTCTTTGGATTATTTTTTAAAAATGAACTCGCTAATATTAATTTTGCGGTGTAATTTTTGGCGACATGGTGGCTGGAAACAAAAAAAGAAAGATGTTTGGAGGTCTTCTTGACGAGCACACCTCTTAGTATTTTTCTTTTTAGTTTTTCGAAAACTTTTGAAAATCGGAGTTAGTTTTTCTAACGGCGTTGAAACACATGTCCCACTTTATTATAAAATGAAACACATGCCCCTAGCTATCTGAAAACGACTCAAACCACATGTACATTTTCTATACTTTTCTCTTATAATAATGACACATGCATATATGACTCGAGCAGTCATATACTCCCTCCGTCCCGAATTGAATTGCAAACTTTGACTGACACAAGTATTAAAGAATGACTATAAATGATGTTTGCTTTTTACACTTTTGTCCATCTTCCTAAAAGTAGATGACTTTAAGGGCCTATTTGGTAACAGCTGCATTAGCTGGAATGGCTGAAAAAGCCTGAAAAGACTGAATTTGCTGTAGTGAAAGTGTTTGGTAATATGTTGGCTGAAATGGCTGATTGAGAGTAAAATTACCATAAAGGGTATTAACTTATTTGTGTTAAATATATGAGTGTGAATTTTACTTGTAAACTACTTTTGCTTGATTAGATAATTATAAGACTACATAAATAATTGATTACTTTGAAAATTTCATTCTTACTTTTACGTCGAATTTTATATTGTTTTATGCAATGACTTTCTAAACGATTTGTATTTTTGAATTACCGACATTAGCTATATATTTTGTGACTAATATGAGTAAATTAATTTAATAAACATACTTTTTCCAAAGGAAATCAGCAACACCACTTGGAAAACGGAAAATGACCACTTCTTGAAGTTTCTCTTTGCAAATAACTTTTTATAGGTTAAAGAAGATGTGGAACGGCAGAGCTATGGCCTCAGCTATGGAACAGAAGAGCTGTGGCCTCAACAAAGAAGATGTGTATTACATAAGATAAAAGGGTAAAGAAGTATATTTAGGTTTGAACAGTACATTAAATAACTTTCAGCTCAAAAAGTAACTTTATTGTTACTTTTTTTGCTGATAAGAAAAACAGTCCAAACAGCCCATTTGCTATGTGTTTGGCTATATTTTTGTATTTTTAGGCTTTTCAGCCCAATTTTAGGGCTCCAAACGGCCCATAAGTTAATGGGACAAAGTAAAAGTAAAAGTAAATTTTGAAACAGTCAAAATAGGAAATTTTACAAATCAAATTGAGAAGGAGGGAGTATGATTATTTCAAACTTTTTGTAAACGTTAATAACATATCAGTTTTACCTTGAAGTTATCCTTTATGGTAAAATTGAACATGATAACATATTTTCATTGTTTGCGCATTACTAAAATTGCATTCAAATCTTTATATAATATAAAGTAAGGGTAACAACTATTTGAGGGAAAATCCCCACTCAAATAAAGGACATAATTGGAAATTAATATGCTACCAAAAATGAAATCCCGCCCAACGAATTCTCAATATACCGTCCAGTGTGTCCATATATGTGAGGTTGCAAGTATGGACACTAATAATTAATATAGAGTAATGCTCGCCGAGGCATATATATATACATCAAAGGTGTAGAAATTTTAAATAAGGAGAGTAATATGCACAGAGTTGAATTCATTACGTTCAAAAAGTAGCATTTGACCCTTGAAGTTTCATTATCAATAAGCACCATCATAAATTCTTTAAATATTTGACCATTATTTTCACTAGGCTATTATTAATTAATATTGTTAAATTGTTTAAATATTTGGTGCTTTTTTTAATAGTATACATATTTCATGCCACATGTGCACCTTTCGGTGCTTTCACATTGTGTCATTGAAAAAGTCACCAAAATGATATAAAACCGTGTAAGGAAAGAGAGCAATGTAAATAATTTATTTTCTGTGTCTATCTCTTTCATACCAAATATGCATTGTAAACATTATTCTATTGGAGATGTTCTAAGAGAATCATCATTGTTTAGATTATTTAGAGATCAATTTGATGACGTGGCTGATTTTTTTAAATTATAATTGGAATGATGAAATTATTTGCAAAGATTATTTATAAAAAAATCTGGTATCAAATATTGAATCAGATTATATTAAAAGTTGGTCCGCCAAATATGGAAAATTTGGCGAGCCGTGTGATACTTTTCCTTTTTTAATGACACTTAGCCGGGTGACAAAAGAAAAAAAAAACTAGAGAAGAGATATAACACATACTAACGTTTGTAATCAGAAAAATTAGAAAAAAGGTAAGTATATTGGTGCATTAATATAACACATACTAACGTGTATTTTTGTAGGAGAAAGACTCTTTTAATGCATTTTATACAAAAATAACTGATGGAGTATATGGGTCTGAGCCCCTGGACCCACATACTCGGAAGAACAGAAAGCACAAGACACAGAGTGGCGCCCTCGTCGGCCAAGACGCCCTCGTCGGCCGAGAAGGTGCCAACTCAGATTATGGTCCTGAAGCCAAGGAACCCGGGTGCCCTCGTCGGCCGCGCTCTCGTCGGCCGTGCCCTCGTCGGCCACGCCCTCGTCGGCCACGAAGACCTCACAGAACCGGATTTTATACTTATTCATTTGTACAGCCCATTAGTGGCTTTGTATTCGGCCCAGTAGCGGTCCAGTTGTATATGGGCCTCCCAAACCCAAGGCTGGGGAGCCCAGCCCGTATTTTCCCTATAAATACTCCCCTTGGGAGTAGTTGTAGGGGTTCAGAATTCATTAGTATCAAGCAAATATACTACTTCTCTCTCTAGCTCTCACTTCTTTCTAGAGATATACTCTATCATTTGGTGCTCTCGTTGAGAGCTAGAACAATCAAGTTAGC